AGTCCACAAACCAACGGGTGACGTCACGATGACTACGTCCATTACAGTCTATGGTGGTGCACCGAGCGCAGCTCCCGCATAAACACCTTCATCCCTCGGTCCAGTTGCAGCCACGTACCGTGTGATGCTATCGGCATGTCTTTTCTCTCCCTGAACACAGTCACTCGTTACAGTAACTAATCTAACTTTAACATTACATTGTCCATGTGGCACGTTTAATGTTGAGGCTGCATAAAGTCAGCGAAACCAAAAGGTAGACCATCACTTTCCAACTTCACACGTCACTGAACCTTTTGCTCCAAACTGTTGTCACCGCAAAATTAACTTCTCTAACAGGTTTTGACTTCTGTGCATGACTCTTTAAAAACTGGTCAGCATACCCTCCCGTTCAGTTTGGGAGTTGTGCTAATTATCTTAACGAGCTAAGCTGATGTGGCAGGTTGAGGGTTTTTCTCCCTCCCACCACTATATGGCACTGCGCTGGTGCCATGACAACCGGATGCCACTGCCTTGGCCTATAAGTACAGGTGGTGATGCACCTGTGTCAGTCTCTTTCTTACCTGGACTGGGCATTTTGGCTGTTGGTGATGCGAGTGCTGTTACAGCTGTTATGGCCTGCAGCGCAACAGTTTAGCCGGTGGTTAATACCCCTAAACCTACAGCGTCGCCGGGCGGCGTCCTGTATGCACGCAACATTGCTCTTGGTCCGTGTGGTAAGTGTGCTGTCTGCTTGCATGCTGATGGAACTGTCTGCTGTGTGCGGGTAGTGCATCGCGGTTAAACACAATGCTCCCTTGGTTGTTTTAGAGCGAATCGTTGCTGTGCGGGCTATCTCGATCTGGCCTGTGGCTGATTATGTGTGTGTGCTGTGGAACCGTGGGGGGGTATGTATGCGTGTCTCGTATTGTATTCCATTTTATTGAATATATACAGTGAGGAAAATAAGTATTTGAACACCCTGCTATTTTGCAAGTTCTCCCACTTAGAAATCATGGAGGGGTCTGAAATTGTCATCGTAGGTGCATGTCCACTGTGAGAGACATAATCTAAAAAAAAAAAAATCCAGATATCACAATGTATGATTTTTTAACTATTTATTTGTATGATACAGCTGCAAATAAGTATTTGAACACCTGTCTATCAGCTAGAATTCTGACTCTGAAAGACCTGTTAGTCTGCCTTCAAAATGTCCTCCACTCCATTTATTATCCTAAATTAGATGCACCTGTTTGAGGTCGTTAGCTGCATAAAGACACCTGTCCACCCCAAACAATCAGTAAGAATCCAACTACTAACATGGCCAAGACCAAAGAGCTGTCCAAAGACACTAGAGACAAAATTGTACACCTCCACAAGGCTGGAAAGGGCTACGGGGAAATTGCCAAGCAGCTTGGTGAAAAAAGGTCCACTGTTGGAGCAATCATTAGAAAATGGAAGAAGCTAAACATGACTGTCAATCTCCCTCGGACTGGGGCTCCATGCAAGATCTCGCCTCGTGGGGTCTCAATGATCCTAAGAAAGGTGAGAAATCAGCCCAGAACTACATGGGAGGAGCTGGTCAATGACCTGAAAAGAGCTGGGACCACCGTTTCCAAGGTTACTGTTGGTAATACACTAAGACAGAGGTCACTAATAGGCGGACCGCGGTCTGGATCCGGACCCAGCCGCCGTCCTCTCCGGACCGCCGACCTACAGCCCATTTATTATTGAGACTTACTACCTCGTGATGGAGCGTTTCTATTTTAACCCGCGCAGCTTTTCTAGCATTTACTGTACTGGTTTAGAGGACCAGGAAACTCACAGACCAATCGCATGTGCTCCAATCGTCTCATGTGAAGCTGCTCAGCCAATCAAATCTGTGCATACCGATGCTTGCGAGTCGAGTCCGCGAGATTCACCAGAGACGTTTTGGAAACACACCCGAATTGAGGAGACGAAAGACAAAAGAGATTTCACATGACTTTTAATCAAGAATGTACAGATTTTTACATGTACATTCCTCCCACAGGCAGTTCAAAACCAGAATATCTCATAGATCTCCAATATGCTAGCTGGAGCTCACGTTTCTCACTGAACAACAGAAAGTAGGAAAGTGGTAGCTCTGTAAGAGGAAATGAAAGAGAAGAGGAGGCATTACAGCTGCTCATTTGTTATGATGTGTTGAGTGTTTATTATAAAATTGGTTAAGACTACACTTCATCACTTCAAGCTACACTTTTTGTTACATTTTTTCAAAAAAATAGGCACTTTAATTTAGTTTACTTAAATTTAGAATTTATTATTTGAATAGTTATTATTTATTATCCTTCCAGTTTGATGTGAAAACTGACTGAAATATTATTTGATTTGACAGTCCGTTGTTGACTAAAAACATGTGTTGATACAACTATAGGTTATAGTACTGAATGATAACGCAAGTTCGTCGTTTTGATGTTCCGGACCTTTGCTTCAGGAAATTTTCTCTAACTAGACCTCTTTGAAATCTAATTGAATACCCCTGATTTATATTATATTTCGCATGGTACAGTGAGGAAAATAAGTATTTGAACACCCTGCTATTTTGCAAGTTGTCCCACTTAGAAATCATGGAGGGGTCTGAAATTGTCATCGTAGGTGCATGTCCACTGTGAGAGACATAATCTAAAAAAAAAGAAATCCAGAAATCACAATGTATGATTTTTTAACTATTTATTTGTATGATACAGCTGCAAATAAGTATTTGAACACCTGAGAAAATCAATGTTAATATTTGGTACAGAAGCCTTTGTTTGCAATTACAGAGGTCAAACGTTTCCTGTAGTTTTTCACCAGGTTTGCACACACTGCAGGAGGGATTTTGGCCCACTCCTCCACACAGATCTTCTCTAGATCAGTCAGGTTTCTTGGCTGTCGCTGAGAAACACGGAGTTTGAGCTCCCTCCAAAGATTCTCTATTGGGTTTAGGTCTGGAGACTGGCTAGGCCACGCCAGAACCTTGATATGCTTCTTACAGAGCCACTCCTTGGTTATCCTGGCTGTGTGCTTCGGGTCATTGTCATGTTGGAAGACCCGGCCTCGACCCATCTTCAATGCTCTAACTGAGGGAAGGAGGTTGTTCCCCAAAATCTCGCAATACATGGCCCCGGTCATCCTCTCCTTAATACAGTGCAGTCGCCCTGTCCCATGTGCAGAAAAACACCCCCAAAGCATGATGCTACCACCCCCATGCTTCACAGTAGGGATGGTGTTCTTGGGATGGTACTCATCATTAGTCTTCCTCCAAACACGGTTAGTGGAATTATGACCAAAAAGTTCTATTTTGGTCTCATCTGACCACATGACTTTCTCCCATGACTCCTCTGGATCATCCAAATGTTCATTGGCAAACTGAAGATGGGCCTTGACATGTGCTGGTTTAAGCAGGGGAACCTTCCGTGCCATGCATGATTTCAAACCATGACGTCTTAGTGCATGCCTTCTTAATTAGTATATGTAGTTGGTGTGGTTTCTTTTTTGTTAATTTACTTTTGGTTTGGTTGGGTTTTATTTATTTTTTAATTAGTATTTTGTTAATAAAATTATTTGTTTAAATGTGAAACACTCTCTGCCCTGGCCTTATTTCATACGAACTTGTGTGACCTATCAATATTATTTCCTAGGGCAAAATTCCCTAGGTGGCGTTGTTGGCAACTTATTTAAGTTATTACGTATTTAAATAGAATCACACCCTCGTCTTGCTACACTAAAATGTAATTTACGCCGACAACGATACCTGTGAATTATTGCTAACACATAAATGAAATACTATAATTTCACTCACCGAAACAACGTACTCAGAGGATGACGAGTTCAGTAGCAGTTGCAGTTTGTATGATGCTTTGGCAATATTGTTGTTATACATTCATGCCAATAAAGCTAATTTGAATTTGACGAGTTGAGAGCCAAAACCTCGATCAGTTCGTCAGGGGGTGTGGTTTGTGATTGACAGTTTCAGCAGGTAGTAACAAAAATTACATGCGGTGAACGATGAATGGTAAATTAAGTTTATCACATCAGTTGACAATTTATTACTTTAGATTTCAATTTACCTTAAATTTAACCCTCTGTATTTCAATTCACATGCATTTTCATCACCTCCCTTTTACTATTTAACCCTTGAGGCTACCTGCTTTAAATGATGAATGCCAATTTTGCGTTGTGAATGATGATTGATAAATAAAAAATGGTTATTTTTTCATGCTATCACTACTGTTCATACTACTAATCATATCACTTGAATATTCATCACTTTTTTTTTATTTCACATCCATTTTACGGGTTAACGTCGTAGTAAACACCTCCATTAAGTCTTTTACACCACCATACATCACATTTACATTTATTTATTCATTTAGCTGACACCTTTATCAAAAGCAACTTACAATTGCTATACATTTCAGAGGTTGCACACTTTTGGAGCAACTAGGGGTTAAGAGTCTTGATCAGGGACACAATGGTGGATGGGTAACAGTGGGGGATTGACCAATGCATAACACATGATGTATTTGTTGCTGTACTGTAACATCAGCAACAAATACATCATGTGTTCTGCATTGGTGTCAATCTAATGACACAATGTAAGTGTTTGTACACTTGAATAAAGCTATCTGAGCTAATTCCAGACAGATATAATACACTTGACAAGAGCTGGACAGATATAGTAACAAGAAATTGCAGTACAGAAATGCCAAACTAGGCTTTAGGTCATTTATAACAGTGTCTTATATAGTTTATCTAACACATTGATTTTTACACTGTAAAATGTGCAGGACTGTCATGTACCTATGTCACATGAGGAAAAAAATTAATCTAAGACATTCCTGTTAAGATTGTGTCTTTACATTTTGTGTTTGTTTTTAAAATTTACTATCATACGTAACATTTTAGCAAATATGAGAAATGAGAATAATTGTGGTCAAGTTTACAACAAAACAGAAAAAAGATTGTGTAGCAAAACATATCTTATTTTTTTTAATTCACAGAGCCGTTGAGGATCATGTTTCTTGGAAAGAGTGGGGTGGGCAAGAGCTCGAGTGGAAACACCATCTTCGGGCAACATGTGTTCAGATCAGAAATGACGCTGGCTAGAGTCACCAGACACTGTGAAAAGGAGGTTGGGACAGTCAAGGATGTGCCGGTCGATATGACAGGGAAAGTCAAGGATGTGCCTGTCGCCGTGATCGACACACCCGGCTTTTTTGAGACGGACCGTAACAAGGGGGAAATTGAGCGAGAGATTCTGAAGTGTGTCAAACTCCAAGAACCAGGACCTCATGCCTTCGTGTATGTTATCTCTGTTGGAAGGATGACTCAGGAAGATCAAAATACCAACGCAGTGATTGAAGCAAAGTTTGGCCCGAGAGTGTGGGACTACACCATCGTCCTGTTCACCCACGGGGATCGTTTGGAGGGAAAAACAATAAACGACATCGTCACTGTCAGTGACGACAACCTCCGCAACTTCATCCGCAAGTGCAGCGGCGGGTTCCACGTCTTCAACAACAAGAACCCGGAGGACCAGGTCCAGGTGACCAGCTTCATAGCAAAGATCCAGACCCTGGTGGCCCTGAATGGAGGGGTCCATTACCACACAGCTCTGTATCCTGAAGAGGAGAAGAAGATTAGGAAGAGACAGGAGAGCATCCTGGCAGAGAGAGATGAAGAGATCAGCAAAAAGGAGAGAGCGCTGCAGGAGCGTCACCAGGGAGAAGAGCTGGAGGAGAAGAAGATGGAGCTGTGGAGGAAAGAGGAGTTCAACTCAAGACTGGCTGCAGAGAAGGAGATCAGGAGGTTCTCAAACATGTGGTATATTTTGAGACTCATCCTAATCCTGGGACTCACGCAATTGATTTGTGTATATACACACACAAATCATCACTAACTTCCTGTAAAATAACAGTAAAGAGCTGGCAGCAGAGACGCCAGCAGTATACCGTTATTTTTTCGGTAATCATACGTAAAATGACTTTACGGTAGTAGTCTGTAAACCAGAAAAAAGTATTTTTCTGTATTTCTATAATTTACAGTAAAGAGCTGGCAGCAAAGACGCCAGCAATATATCGTCATTTTACAGTAGTAGTCTGTAAACTAGAAATACAGTATATTTCTGTAGTCACACTGTAAAATGATTCCACAGTGTAATACAGTAAAAAAAAAAAAAGTAGCATATTTCTGTGATTATTTGGAAATTTGTCCTTTAGTGAGTCTTCTGAAATAAAGATTCCAATCCAGACGTCTTTTAAGGGTTTTATTCTTTGCAAAGGGTCAGACAAACATACAGAGTGCCAGAGTGTAAGACAAAGAGCCAGTGAAGAAGCAGGTGACTTTATACTGTAAGGGTATTACGCAGCTATCCAGGAGAGGAAGGGAGGAGGGACCAGCTGTCCAGAGATGAAGGCCTATCAAGGACAGTCTGATAAGAAAACTCTCTAACGAGCATCTTTCCCATGGAAAACTTCACCTATCTGTAACATGATAAAATAATCAAATACCACACAGTGAAACACTGGTCTATTCTGATGAAGCATGCAGGGTGAAACAGTAAACACAGTAAAATATCAAATTTCCATCACAGTTTACTGTAGACAGACACAATAGATAAAACACTAACTAAATTTATCAGTTTCCTAAAATCAGTCTTCATTGCAATAAATATTGATTGAAATGAACTTCATTATTCTCAAGCCTAGACAGTTGCTTAAGATATGCATTATTGTGAATATTGTGCAAAATAAGCAATACAAACTAAATACTAAAAAACCAAATACCTTTATTTCAAAGAGCAATGTCAATGTCAACATGAATACAAAAAATGGAAAAAAAGAAAATAAACCCTGTTGGACGACACTGAGAAGAGATTTCTAGTAGCAAACAGAAACAGCCTAGTAGTGTTTGCTTTACACTATGGCAATAAACTTAAAGACTATTTAAGGAACATTAAAGGAACACTCCACTTTTTTCCCCCCCAACTCCCCTAGAGTTAAAATGTTGAGTTTTACCATTTTAGAATCTATTCAGTCGATCTCCAGGTCTTGCGGTAGCACTTTTAGCATAGCTTAGCATAGATCATTGAATCTGATTAGACTGTTAGCATCACTCTCAAAAAAAATGACCAAAGAGTTTCAATACTTTTCCTGTTTAAAACTGTAATTACATCGTGTACTAAGACCGACGGAAAATGAAAAATTGAAATTTTCTAGGCCAATATGGCTAGGAACTCTCTCTCTAACTCTCATTTCTGCGTAATAATCAAGGAACTTTGCTGCAGTACCATGGGTCCATCGGTGGCATGAGAAGCTTCCGTCACGGTTCACATTCTTAATGCGGTTTTTCACTTGAATCAAAAGTGATGTATAACCTCCACACAGAAGTGACCCATCTGGTGCAATATCAGCAAAGGTCTTTGGATACTGCCTAATGATATTTTGAACCACAGTTAGGCACTGTGCGCGAGTGGGGTTAGCTTCATACCTTCTCATTTCATCCGCGAGTACTTGTACCATCTGATGTCGCTCCACTGGTTTAGGTCTTTTGCCATCTGTAATTGCAGAACGAATTTCCTGTGGCATTTGTTCCCAAGGGACCTAGAATGTTTCTGGCCATGTTTTCAGTATCTGAGATGTGGAAGGTCTGTTGCTTGGCTCGTTGTTTCTTGCCTGGCTTGAACATGATGAAATGGCCAATAGCTGTGATGAGCTAGAATTAGGTGGAGGTCATAATGTTGGTGATGAAGACCTAGACACCGACCGATCACTACTCGTCAGTGGTGACAAAGTTGGAATGACTTGAAGATCCAATGTAACTGTCTCGGTTTCTAAAAAACAAACAAGAAAAGAATTAGGGCACATAACTAATAAGCTATATCAGATTCACTGCAGACATTTGGCCAAAAGTCTACTTAACTCTCCTTATATAAGGCATATTTGAAAAGTTTAAAGGTGCATTATGTAGTTTTAGAAAAAAGAAATTCCACAACTGAATAAACAAGAGAATATAACAAGAGACTGTCACACTAAATTAACCATACGTTACTTGAATGCATCCAGGAGTTTTCTGCGCTGGATAACAGGTAACAGATCAGCAATGTCTTCCTGTTGTACATATTTTAAGTCTTCTTTTGACTCCAAGCCGGAGCTCTGAAGTTTTGATATTATTTGCCACTGGGTCTCTTCAGACAGATTTGGCAAGGTCATGTTCGCCATGATTCTGGACCAGAGGGAAAGAATGGTGAAGAATGATCAGTGGTGTGCCATGGACAGTGTATTCAGGCAAGGGATAGTAATCTAGCAGATTTTCCTGACTAATACAACAGTAGCTTCTCTGCATCAGTGTGAGGCTGTAAACACCCATGTCAGGAATGCGCAGGGCATGATACTTTTCACCAATAAAATATACTGCTGAATCCTTATGAACGAGAACAACTTTGATTTTTCCAGTGACAAGCCCCTCATCATCATGATCAATCACAATGAGCATGTTCTTTCTGTATTTTGTCCCCTTCACAGTCATTTCATTGGCTATCAGAGTGTTTGTGGAAAATTGTGATGTGCAACTGCTTCTATGATTACATCATTACAGTCATCTGAGAAAAATTGTGTGCCCCTCTCCATTGAAACACCTGGAGGGAAGAAGGTACCAGCGCTCAGAAAGGCGTGCAGAAGCTGATGTCTCTCTGCAAGAGTAGAACATGGATTCTTAAAGTTGCGCAATTTTCTCATACACTGCTTAAAATATGTGTGTTTGCTCACGAATCTTAAAGTCCATAGGCGAATAAGTGGCCCAAACTGGAAAATGAGTTCAGGATAATGACTGACATAATGATGTTTGGGCTTCAGTGGGTTGTCAGGAAAGTTTTGTATTCGGCAATGCAAATATTCATCAATCAGAACTCTTAGGTAGGCTATCTGGCCATTTGAAATTGCAGGTGCACAACTGAGGTCCACAACTTCTGGACTGATTTATTAGTCGATTCAACTCAAGATAGTTAAACATTTTATCCGCCTTAACAAGATGGTTAATGTACTGTGCCAGATCATAGGATACAATACCTTCAAAAAGATTGTGGCCAAGACATGGAGGCAACCTTGGCTGACATACATGGAAGTATTTGAGCATATCAAACATAGTCAAACAGAGTCAAATTTAACACCTAGATGTAGATGGTCCTTCACTGCTCTGAACATGACCACTGTATGACTGCACTGAGCGTTTTGTGCCCTGGATAAGAGGATCTGCATGGAATGCTTCTCTGCTGATATCACAATATCTGCTGAAGTTCTCCACAAAGCCTCCTATGTTATGTGAGCCTAGGTTGTCGCCTGCAATGGCACACAAAGTTCCCTTGTAGACCTTTCCATCAGACAGGGTAACACCATTAAGCTCAAGATCTTTCAGGTCATTGACGAGGGTGCCCATAACCAAGTCTTGACTAAAATTCTTAAAATCGTGTTCTTTACAGAGAAGAACAAGTTGCATTTGATCAGTGCTGGATCTGTTGTGTGGCATTAAATCTGCAAGAGTTAGATACACTGCAAGTACAGTATCTTGTGTTTTTTCTTTCCAGATCCCAGTGGGTTTACCACTTCAAATGCATCCTGATACAGGATCAAGCTCAGTGATAAGAGAGGTAAGAGCTTTTTCTGTCAATTATGCAGAGTGTACTTCAAGAAAATCTGAACAAACACTACACTAAACACTACCAAACTGCTACTATCTCCTCCAGGCAGGTCAGAGTGGATGATGGCAGAGCAGCAGATTGGGTTGGGTCTGTCCTGAGCTAGAGCTGAATGTCATCAGCATAACAGTTAAGTGAAATTCCATGTCAGCTGATGACACCGCCAAGGGCAAGCTTGTAGAAGATATACAGGGTGGGGCCGAGCACTGAGCCTTGACAGACACCACAGGAGACATTGTGTGTCAGGGATTTAGCCTCTCCCAAGGCAACATGCTCAGTTCTCCTGGTGAGATGAATGTGTGTGAATGGGTAAATCTGATGTAGCGTAAAAAGCGATTTGAGTTGTCTCAAAGACTAGAAAGGCGATATACAAATACAGAGCATTTACATTTAGGACGGAGCAAATGATGTCTACTTTTTTCTGAAACAAGTGATGAAGTTGTTGCACCTCTCCTCTTTGGCTTCTGAATGAGAGCGAGTTTGCAGTTTGAGGATGTAATTTATAGTAGAGAAAATTTGCTTGGAGTTGCCAGGGCTATTGTTGATGATGTTGAAGTAGAACCGTTCATCTCTCAAGGACCTTGCGTAGGATTTCTGATGACCTCTGTAGGCTTGCCTGTGAACAGTGAGTCCTGAGGCCTTGAGGCGCCGCTCAAGGACACGTGCAGCTGTCTTTAAAGCACGACTGGCTGCAGAGGAGATCAGGAGGTTCTCAAACACGTGGAATATTTTGAGATCCATCCTTTTCCTGGGAGGAATAACATCAATATGGTCCGATCTCTACATTACATATTATTTACACCATTTAAACATATTTTTAGGGCCTAGGGATGCTTGACAAGTTAACATATGCAGCAGAAGTCAAAGGCAAATTTTTTTATCTTATATGGGTCTTTGCCTCGGGTGTGGCAAGGTGGCTTGATTGCGATTTATATTTTCAGGCTTCACACTTTAACCACTAGGAGGTTATGCAAGATTAACTTGAACACACTCCAATCTGCCTCAAATTTTGCATATCTGATATAAATCCAGACCTGAAGACACCAATACTGAGTTACAGTCATAGCACTTTTATCCAAAGCAACTTACATTTGAGGACCAACATACAAGCATCAACACAGCACGAGATCTACAACTGACAATATTTACTAGTGAGAGCAGCAATAAATAATACTAGTAAAAGCTAATAGCACGTATGGCATCAATGGGGTAAATACCTTTGGAAAGAAGTAAGAGTTAACAAAAGGTGCAATCAATACAAGTGAATTGTAAGGGGTTAGAAGAAGAAGAACACAGAAGTGCATGTTAGAGGTTAGGGTTTAGAGGTGTTATAAGGGGAAGTTTTCTCGAAAGAGATGAGTTTTGGAGTGACATGAGTCCTTTTGGGACCTTCATGATGCTATGTTGCAAGGGTTTTGAGTTTTCATGGAGTGTAATGGACAGTGGACACAGGAAGTGATATTTAACTCCTTTATGCAATGTCCAATATTTCTTCTTCAAAATCAATAACTGGATTAGCCACTAGAGGGCGCCTTTAATCTACTAATTGGTTAGTCAGCTGAAGTTTTACAAAGTAGTGCAATGACATTCATCTAGAAGTTTCCCTGTTTTCCATTGCCCATGTTTTTGAATTTTAATTTTTAATATTGAATTTATTGAAGGGTAGCTAGCCCCTTGAGGTGGAGCATCCCATTTTCAAGGGGGTCCTATAACATAAATACATAATGAACATTGTTGAACTTTGTGTTTTTAAAGGTTATTCCAGGGTCAGATTAATATGTAATGAATTAATTTCACTGCAGTGTATGAAGTGATCCACCAAGTTAGAGATCTCCATATATATTATTATCATGATACAGAGAGATACACATACTGTATGTGACTTTCATTTGGATTCCACCAACTAACAACCAGTACAAACGAATAGTTAAATTTTTTACCATGATGGCATGTATTTTATACTTTAAATGAATACTGTTTCAAATATACACTTTTTACTGCACATGATGTTGCACTTTCATCCCAACCATAATTTTCTTTTCAGAACATTTTGTCTCTTTCTCCAGACCTTTTGATGGTTGGGATTTGGTATCCGATAAACTTAAAATCAATTCAGTTATTTCAGTAAACTGGACAGCCTGTATATAATGTCCACATTCAGTAAAATACAACAGTAGACGGAGGGAAAGAGAAAGTGCAGTATGACAGGGACCAGGGCAGAAATTATCAAAACTGTTTGCTGTTCTCACTTCTTATTTTTCAAATAAAACAAATTTTGTGTTTATTACACAATACAATCTAACAATTATACAGGATTTCAGAGTTTAGTAAATGCCCCAAAAAATCAAATCAAAGGACACACACACAAAAAAAAACCTCACATTGCCTAATCTGATGGTTTTTGTGCTCTACATCCTCTACAGGTTCTCATTCCTATCCAGGAGGCACAGACCATAACAACAGACCATATGTGTGTTTTCATCCGGTCTCAGTTTATAAGAATTTCTTTCTAAACACAAATGTGGTGTTTTAAACAGAAAAACTGTGGTATGTATAGGCTACAAGCTACATTTTTCAAGATTATTTCTTAACCTCATTTCATACAAGGGTAGGTTGAGTGGGGAATAATTTTCTTTCTTACATGCAATTAGCCTATTGCATGTAAGGTTTCACCTCAGAAACTGATAACGTGGTAGCACCCAAAATGGACGCAGTGACAAGCTGTTTTCTGTTGTCTTAAGACAACTTTTTTTTTTAAATATCTATTTTGTTTTTTATTCTGTTCCTTGGGTGCTACTCTATTCCACAACAGACCTTGCATTCATCGTGGATAAGAATAAAACAATTGATTAAACAAAGTGAGCAAGGCTAGACTACACCTGCATGCACCAACACTGCTGCTTAATTTGACTTAATTAACCTATTTGTTCTGGCACTACCACACTAAACATACACATAAACATTTGCTTTATTGTTCATCACTGTTAGAAGGTTATTGGAATAGGCTAATTTCATCAAATTATAAGACCTTTTACACACAATTTGGGGGATTGGCATCCTTACCCTCTTATTCTGTACTATAGAGTATAGGCCTATCTACAGAAAAGTTGCCTGTAGGCTATAGTCTCTGTGTTTCTGTGTTGACATGTGAGGTCATTTATTTTTATCATGTTATAGTGAGAGGCCTTGATTTGGTTTATTACACACGTGTGGGCAGAATTATTATAAGAAAACATGCATGTCATATCATGCGTCACCATCATGATCACCTTTGAACCTGTAAACTTGTGTAACTTCCAATGTTGGGCCAGTGTACATTTCCTCATACTTTCGGTTTCATTATACACGGCAGCAGGAAATACGGAGAGGACCGATCTGAACAAAGAATAAACTTCACCAAGACCAGTCAGACGTGACTTGTTAGCAGATAAACTTCACCGACATTATTCAGACAAGTTGACTGTGGCGATAACACAATCTGCTTCTGCCAACATGATCCCTGACAGCATGCCTGGGCCCGAGCAAGAGGATCCGCAGGAACGTAAGTATGAAAAACACGTCTTAAAGTCTTTCTGTTTTTAGCTGCCCATAACGAAAAATGCGCAAATGATTTCAAATAATCAGAACTTTATTTGAAAGGATTTAACTTCTGTTTAATAGGACAACTCATCACTTGGTTACTCACCGCAAGAGTTTTAATCCACATCTCACTTAGCCTACTTTTTAGCACATGATGAGCAGCTGATGGCAGAGCGACAACAGAAGGGTGATTTAGCAGAGTTGTTAGCTTTCCAAGGCTGAAGCCTCTGCCGATAAGGCAGTCCTGCTGGCAAACTAAGTTGGCTAAAAGACTTTACTTTAACTAAAAGTCTTCAGTTTCTACATTAGAACAATCAGGGTCCTGCCACCTCCTGTCGTTTCTGTGTCGCCAATATGCTATCTTCATAATGTTTAACACATTTTTAAAGAAAAGAGCTAGAAATATTTGCATCTTCTGGCTGTGGCCATTGCACACTGGTATGATACATTATCCACTTTTTCTTAGGCAGTCTGACACCTTTAACCTTTTAGTTGACTCCTCATGTGTGGTCTAACATGCTTATTAGTGAGCTGAGGAAACACTCTGGACATTTAGTAGTATAAACTCATCACTGATCCTTAACTGACCACTTCAGCTGTGCTTGTAGAAGCCATACAAACACAAAATATAAACAAAAACAAAATCAAGAGAATGCACATCAACATGTAAAACATAGAAGTGTAAAATTATAAACAGTTTGCCATGAATCACGATAGGTTTACGGGTAGCCTGTACCTATCATGGCATTATTACATAAGGAAATGTTACTGTTAAAATTCTCCAATTATGAGGTGGGATATGAGGGGTGGAAATAAATATTAATTGATAAAAAAAAAGGAGGTGATGAAAATGGATGTCAATGGAAAAATAAAAGGGGTTCAAATGGATGTGAAATTAAAAATAGTGATAAATATTCAAGTGATTTGATTAATTTTAAGTTGATTTGATTAAAACAGTAGTGATAGCATGAAAAAATAACCATTTTTTATTTATCAATCATCATTCACAACGCAAAATTGGCATTCATCATTTAAAGCAGGTAGCCTCAAGGGTTAAATAGTAAAATGGAGGTGATGAAAATGCATGTGAATTGAAATACAGAGTGGTTAAATTTAAGGTAAATTGAAATCTAAAGTAATAAATTGTCAACTGATGTGATAAACTTAATTTACCATTCATCGTTCACCGCATGTAATTTTTGTTACTACCTGCTGAAACTGTCAATCACAAACCACACCCCCTGACGAACTGATCGAGGTTTTGGCTCTCAACTCGTCAAATTCAAATTAGCTTTATTGGCATGAATGTATAACAACAATATTGCCAAAGCATCATACAAACTGCAACTGCTACTGAACTCGTCATCCTCTGAGTACGTCACTGGAGCGAGCCCAGCTGACCGGAGGAAGATTATGCCGTGCTCTGCTGTACAACAGGCCGCCCAGGAAGACACTGGCCAGTTGTTTCGGTGAGTGAAGTTGTAGTATTTCATTTATGTGTTAGCAATAATTCACAGGTATCGTTGTCGACGTAAATAGCATGTTAGCTTAGCTCGTTAAGATAATTAGCACAGCTTCAAGCTGTGCTTACGATGCTAACTGAACGGGAGGGTAAGTTATGCTGACTAACGTTAGTTTTTAGTGAGTCATGCACAGAAGTCAAAACCTGTTAGAGAAGTTAATTTTGCGGTGAAAACAGTTTGGAGCAAAAGGTTCAGTGACGTGTGAAGTTGGAAAGTGATGGTCTACCTTTTGGTTTCGCTGACTTTATGCAGCCTCAACATTAAACGTGCCACATGGACAATGTAATGTTAAAGTTAGATTAGTTACTGTAACGAGTGACTGTGTTCAGGGAGAGAAAAGACATGCCGATAGCATCACACGGTACGTGGCTGCAACTGGACCGAGGGATGAAGGTGTTTATGCGGGAGCTGCGCTCGGTGCACTAGTTGCACAACACCAGGGGTGGACTGTTGTGCAGAGTTCTCCCTGTCTGCCGAGCATCGCCTGTACCTCCAAGTACTGTTTAAATACGATATAATATTCTTGGTGGGGTTCATCAGTGGTGATAAATGAATATTTTAGGAACATTTAAATCCATCAGTATTTCATTACAGTTGCGATAACTGCATTTGATCAGTGTGCACAGCAAAGTGTCTGAAAAGGACCTGGATCCATAATTCGGCAGAACAAATGTTGTAGGCTACCTGCCTAGATTTGCATCAACCTTTTTATCAGCATATATGAGTGTTATCTCCACCGAGGTGCATGCAATGCAATTCTAGGCAGGCATGCATAGGGCCTAAATCAGCACAACATCGGTAGCTGGGCCGTAATTAGGGCGATGTTCCTGAGCTGGGTAAAGTAAGTTGCATGAAATTAGGTGTGTGACAGCCGCTTATCAGTTTGTAGGCCATACAGTTGCATGTACTTTTAACCTTTGATGGCCCCTGCTAAGATTCAAGCACCACTAGATTCCTTGTAAATTATATATGATGGTAATGTTAGCGGGCGGCATGGTGATGGTGGTTAGCACTGTTGCCTCACAGCAAGAAGGTCGTGGGTTCAAACCCCGGTTGCCCCGGCCTTTCTGTGTGGAGTTTGCATGTTCTCCCCGTGTCTGCATGGGTTCTCTCCGGGTGCTCCGGCTTTCTCCCACTGTCCAAAAACATGCAGGCTAGGTTAACTGGTTACCCTAAATTGTCCTTAGGTGTGAGCGTGAGTGGCTGTTTGTCTATGTGTGGCCCTGCGATGGACTGGCAACCTAAGTGGACAGTTTGATTTCACAGGAGTGTGACTGACTTGGAGTTACATTGTGTTGTTTAAGTGTTCCCTTTATTTTTTTGAGCAGTGTATATACTTCTAATCATTTATCACCACTGATGAACCCCACCAAGAATATTATATCGTATTTAAACAGTACTTGGAGGTACAGGCGATGCTCGGCAGACAGGGAGAACTCTGCACAACAGTCCACCCCTGGTGTTGTGCAACTAGTGCACCGAGCGCAGCTCCCGCATAAACACCTTCATCCCTCGGTCCAGTTGCAGCCACGTACCGTGTGATGCTATCGGCATGTCTTTTCTCTCCCTGAACACAGTCACTCGTTACAGTAACTAATCTAACTTTAACATTACATTGTCCATGTGGCACGTTTAATGTTGAGGCTGCATAAAGTCAGCGAAACCAAAAGGTAGACCATCACTTTCCAACTTCACACGTCACTGAACCTTTTGCTCCAAACTGTTGTCACCGCAAAATTAACTTCTCTAACAGGTTTTGACTTCTGTGCATGACTCACTAAAAACTAACGTTAGTCAGCATAACTTACCCTCCCGTTCAGTTAGCATCGTAAGCACAGCTTGAAGCTGTGCTAATTATCTTAACGAGCTAAGCTAACATGCTATTTACGCCGACAACGATACCTGTGAATTATTGCTAACACATAAATGAAATACTACAACTTCACTCACCGAAACAACTGGCCAGTGTCTTCCTGGGCGGTCTGTTGTACAGCAGAGCACGGCATAATCTTCCTCCGGTCAGCTGGGCTCGCTCCAGTGACGTACTCAGAGGATGACGAGTTCAGTAGCAGTTGCAGTTTGTATGATGCTTTGGCAATATTGTTGTTATACATTCATGCCAATAAAGCTAATTTGAATTTGACGAGTTGAGAGCCAAAACCTCGATCAGTTCGTCAGGGGGTGTGGTTTGTGATTGACAGTTTCAGCAGGTAGTAACAAAAATTACATGCGGTGAACGATGAATGGTAAATTAAGTTTATCACATCAGTTGACAATTTATTACTTTAGATTTCAATTTACCTTAAATTTAACCACTCTGTATTTCAATTCACATGCATTTTCATCACCTCCATTTTACTATTTAACCCTTGAGGCTACCTGCTTTAAATGATGAATGCCAATTTTGCGTTGTGAATGATGATTGATAAATAAAAAATGGTTATTTTTTCATGCTATCACTACTGTTTTAATCAAATCAACTTAAAATTAATCAAATCACTTGAATATTTATCACTATTTTTAATTTCACATCCATTTGAACCCCTTTTATTTTTCCATTGACATCCATTTTCATCACCTCCTTTTTTTTTTATCAATTAATATTTATTTCCACCCCTCATATTTCCATTAAGCTAAGCAGCTAAGCTATAAGGTATTAGTCGTGTCAATACAATCGATATGACTGTAGGCTAAAAGTAGATCCTCTTCAACATAACTGTTAACATTAGCCTATGTAAAAGCATTTTTTCTGAAATAAAATAAACAATAATTAACCTACACGTGTCATATGTAAAGCCGTGTACTTGGGTGTGGAGTGTTTAAGGGTTAACATGTCCTATACACCTCATTAAGTCGTTTACACCACCATACATCACATTTACATATATTTATTCATTTAGCTGACACCTTTATCAAAAGCAACTTACAATTGCTATACATGTCAGAGGTTGCACACTTTTGGAGCAACTAGGGGTTAAGAGTCTTGGTCAGGGACACAACGGTGGATGGGTAACAGTGGGGGATTGACCAATGCATAACACATGATGTATTTGTTGCTGTACTGTAACATCAGCAACAAATACATCATGTGTTCTGCATTGGTGTCAATCTAATGACACAATGTAAGTGTTGTTTGTACACTTGAAAAAAGCTATCTGAGCTAATTCCAGACAGATATAATAGGCTTTGTAGCTACACTGGTCCCAAGAAATAATGGCCACGCATCATACAGATGTCTTTTGAAGATTTATTTTATCGCAACTCTCTCCTTCGTCAGCAGACACCCTGAAAACTACAAGAAAATAAAAGACATACAGCTTAAAACATTTATCTCACATTCACTTTAAGGCCTTTCAAGCTAGTGTCCATTGATAAACAGGCCCAAACACATTAACACAAGGGAAATGCAATGAAATCATACAATATAACCAAACATAAATATTGTCCACATAAAGTACACCAACAAGTACCATACACAAAGGTAAACAAATGAAAGACAATTACCGTGTGCGCCTCTTGAACTAAGTGCAGAATACGGTTATTTTGGGGCTTTATTTTGTTCCTCTGCATGCTCTGATCTGCCTCCACATTGTCTCTTAATGCCATGGTTATGCCCTTATCTTAACTGTTCATGTGACCCATTTCCCATTACTCTCTGTTGTTCGTTGAAATAAACCTTACATAAAAGCACAACATTTTTAACAGTATTTAAATTAAAGACATTTTTGTGAATGTTACCCCTTTTAACATCTTCACATGTTTTTCCTATTTTGAAATGGCTGTATGAACTCAAATATTCATGAACTTACACATACAAATATACAAAATAGACATTTCAATTAAACATGTCTTTGAGACAGTTACACGCTTGACAAGAGCTGGACAGATATATCAGTGTATGTCGGCCAATAGGTAACAAGAAATTGCAGTACAGAGATGCCAATCTAGGCTTTAGGTAATTTATAACAGTGTCTTATATAGTTTATCTAACACATTGATTTTTACATTGTAAAATGTGAAAGACTGTCATGTACCTATGTCACAAGGGGAAAAAAATTAATCTAAGGCATTCCTGTTAAGATTGTGTCTTTAGATTTTGTGTTTATTTTTTTTTAAAATGACTATCATACGTAACATTTTAGCAAATATGAGAAATGAGAATAATTGTGGTCAAGTTTACAACAAAACAGAAAAAAGATTGTGTAGCAAAACATATCTTATTTTTTTTAATTCACAGAGCCGTTGAGGATCATGTTTCTTGGAAAGAGTGGGGTGGGCAAGAGCTCGAGTGGAAACACCATCTTCGGGCAACATGTGTTCAGATCAGAAATGACGCTGGCTAGAGTCACCAGACACTGTGAAAAGGAGGTTGGGACGGTCAAGGATGTGCCGGTCGATATGACAGGGAAAGTCAAGGATGTGCCTGTCGCCGTGATCGACACACCCGGCTTTTTTGAGACTGACCGTAACAAGGGGGAAATTGAGCGAGAGATTCTGAAGTGTGTCAAACTCCAAGAACCAGGACCTCACGCCTTCGTGTATGTTATCTCTGTTGGAAGGATGACTCAGGAAGATCAAAATACCAACGCAGTGATTGAAGCAAAGTTTGGCCCGAGAGTGTGGGACTACACCATCGTCCTGTTCACCCATGGGGATCGTTTGGAGGGAAAAACAATAAACGACATCGTCACTGTCAGTGACGACAACCTCCGCAACTTCATCCGCAAGTGCAGCGGCGGGTTCCACGTCTTCAACAACAAGAACCCGGAGGACCAGGTCCAGGTGACCAGCTTCATAGCAAAGATCCAGACCCTGGTGGCCCTGAATGGAGGGGGCCATTACCACACAGCCCTGTATCCTGAAGAGGAGAGGAAGATTAGGAAGAGACAGGAGAGCATCCTGGCAGAGAGAGATGAAGAGATCAGCAAAAAGGAGAGAGCGCTGCAGGAGCGTCACCAGGGAGAAGAGCTGGAGGAGAAGAAGAAGGAGCTGTGGAGGAAAGAGGAGTTCAACTCAAGACTGGCTGCAGAGAAGGAGATCAGGAGGTTCTCAAACATGTGGAATATTTTGAGATTCATCCTAATCCTGGGAGGCATAGCACTGACCCTGGCAGGTTTGTGGCCTCTAGTGGTAATCATCTTTGTCATTTGGATTTTCTTTGGGGAGTTTCCATCTGTCAGGAAAATATCAGGGCTTTCTAAGAAAACTAAATAGGCTAGCTGTTTAAGGTAGCTAATAACTCATTTATTACTTGGGGGTCTATAGTGGATGCTCGATTAATGTAATAGATTGTAGTCCAACATGTTTTTTTAATGTATCTGTGCATAATTAGAAAACAGAAAAGGCATGATTTTATAGCTTTCTTGCTCTTTCATGTTTAAGATCTAATCCACTCTCATGTAACACAACTGTAAAAAATAATAATAATAAAATATAAATTGAAAGTGGTATTTCAACCCGATCGCATGGATGTAATGGTTTTACTCATGCAATTATGTCATTATTACTTTGTGTGACTGTAAATTAGAAAGAAAACATCTGCAGTGGCTCCTCACAGTGAGGCTGACTGGTGGTAACTCACAGAGGAACATGTTACAGCTGGGCGGGCCTTCAAAGTCTCAGAGCCTCACTGTTGCGATCTGGTTTTTATGTGGGAGTGTCTCCGAATGAAACTTTCTGTTTCATTTCCTGCGATGGGGAGTAGCAGAGGTAAAGTACTGCTTTGTCATTCTGGTGATTTTCCAACAAATGTAAAGTTGTTCTGATTTCATGTAGGCTATACTGCGGCTCTGTGAAACCATTGTAGGCCTACACCTGCATATAATAACCAAACATGATTGCATAAAGCAGTGCGTTTCTGCTGAGTTTGCTGTCAACCAGTGAATTTGAGAACGTACAGCAGTCAGTATCATGTGTTGCCGCATTATGAGCATACATGTGAAATGACGTCTCTTATCTTCAAACACTCACGGGTCATCATGATGAGTGAAGTGAGCACAGGGGGGTTTCCTTCCTTCCCGGACTCCCAGCAGTGAAAACCAGCATAGAGACAGTCGGTCCACCTCTCAGACTGCGAGACAGCATATTTCCTCGTCATCGCGCGGCTTTTTTGTGTGTGCAGGAAACGGAATGATTTTGCTGACTAGGCTATTTACCACAGCATGAGTTTTAGGCGACAGTCATTAGAAAGCGATGCCGAAAAGTTAACCTGCATTCATCGTTGGGTTCATCATCAATGACCCGTAGTCTGTTAGATCAGGTGAAGTTTTTTGAGAACAGCGTTGTCTTGCATATTTACAGAAGGTTGCAAGCTTTGAGAAATCATAGCCTACTATTTAAACGGTCGGGAATTTGTTGTGAAACTGGAAAGTGCAATGGGGTATTCATTTTCATTTAAAAAAATCAAATACAGAAATGACAAGAGTAACATGTCCCTCAGTGGGTGTGAACTGGTCTGGTATTGGGACTTGAGGCTCCTGGCAGCAGTCTAGGCTATTCATTGGAAAAGAGTGTGGGAAATTCAAATTAATTGAAAAGGAACCACAGGACAATCTTGCGCTTCTGCTTAAGGTAATTTAAAACACTAAAATCCGACGTTAAAATGTAGGAATAGGCCTATATAGCATAGCCTACTATACAGTATAATCTTAATCTTATAAGATTAAAAATATCTAAGCATACAGATAAAAGATATTTATCGCATAGGTGTCATTTGCACCACTACATTCTGAAATGGCTGATTTTGTCCCCATCACTTTCTGAAAACACTTGTTAAAAATGTTCTAAAAAATAGCTTGCTCTTATAAATGTTAACAAACACTGTAAGTGCACTATAAGAAAACATGCAGTGCAATGTAAATATAGAAGAAACAAATATGCATTGTTCAAAAAAATGTAAGCTAAAAAAACAAGCAGCTGATTACTGCATTATATTCTATTATATAATTTTATATTTATGAATTGTCACCTGCCAGCTGAATTCTTTTGTTTCCCTTTATTTAAATAAAGACATTTCCGCCATTAACTGGAGCAGAAAAGGTCTCCAGAATGCAGGAAATTGAGTGTATAATGCTCCAATTTTCCAGGGGAGGACCCCCAGACTCTAATATATTTCATCATTTCATATTTCTTCAGATAGTGATATTCTCGTCTTGTTCTCATGCAAGATCCAAGAGTATCATCACACCCCTAATCCGAGCCCATATGTCCCCACCACTTTTCAACACAAAGAAAACCCCCAAACAATTAGAGGGCTTTAGAAATATGTCATTTAAAAAATGGTCCACAAGTCCAACAGTAGGCCTATAGCCTACATAGTAGGCAATATGAGTATTGCAAAGTTTTTCATGAATAGACATTGGTGTGGTGACGGGGTGTGTGTGACCTGTTTTAACAAGAGAGAGAGTGAGCTGAGTGACTGGTGTCCCTAATGATAGTTTGGATTTTCCCTTATAACGCATTGGCCATAATAATAATAATGATAATTATAATAATGATGATAATAAATATCACATTTCATACAAGAAACGCAGGACAGGACCCCTCACTGGCATCCTTTAAGCAACAAAGTGTTTTCCATATGGTCAAACCAGAAAGTGTCACAAACTGAACCTGGATCTGTCTGATGATATAACAAGTTTTTCCCGCTGTGCAACCCAGGCAGACAAAAGCACACTACAAACATGTTATCCCGTCGTCGTATTTTTGAGATTGTATTCTCTGCTAAATATTTAAAGTCTGTCCAGGTGAAAAAGCTTTTCAACTGGTAATAAAGTTATGAACTAAATAACTTAACTAAAAGCTGTGACAACAGTCTAATTCAACTGTTTGTTTTTTGGGGGGGTTGCTTTGCTTTGCTTTGGAACGAAGGCTGAATGGAACAGAAAAGAACTTGGTTAAGAGTAATTTGTCATGAAGAAGAAGAAGAAGAAGATTGGGACAGGAGAATTAGCCCAAGGAATAGAAAGAGAGTCAGATATGTTGAAGATGTTGATTATGATGAGGAGGAGGAAAAAGATGAGGAAGACAATGAGCAGCCAGGCCCATCCACCCAGAACATCCACAACCAGAGAACACAAGAAAAGAGTGAGTCTTTTGAGCCATGGTACATTGACCATCCATTTATCTCTTTTTTTTTTTTTTAATAATATACTTGCCTGTTTTTATAACAACATATTCCACAATGAAGATTAACAAACAAGAGGGACATAAATCTGTACTGCAAGCTACAGTAACATTGTATGTGACATAAAAATACACTCAGGGTACTGCTAAGGATTATGCGGAAAGTCAACTGTGTTGAAGTTATGTGAATTTGTGCAAAATCCAGGATCTTTGCCTGTAACCTGTGGAAACAAAAAGGGCATCCTGGATGTAGAAAAGCTGGGCAGGGGTAAGCAGAAACTAATACTTGAGTTGAGTTTACTTCATTATATATAAAGAAGTAAACACATCTCTTACTCCTTTATTCTTTCCTCCCTTTTTGTTTCTAATAAATGTTGATCCATCCGTATAGGTGAGGTGTGTATCAAGTGTGAGGGCTGCTGGTTTTCTCCCCCTGCCTTCGAGGAGCTGGGGGGAAAAGGCTGCAGTAAAAAATGGAAAGTTAGTATTTTCTATGAAAATAAGCCTCTGCAGTTTTGGTTCGAGGTAAGAGCTTTTTCTGTCAATTATGCAGAGTGTACTTCAAGAAAATCTGAACAAACACTACACTAAACACTACCAAACTGCATTCACTTCTCACTGTTATCACAGCAAGGTTCCTTAACTACCAAGGGATTTAAAAGGAGAGCAACTGCGACTACACAGGTACCTGGATGACAGAATACAATGTGATACTGATTTTATAAAATCATGCAATTTTGATAGCGATGATGAGTCTTGTATTTTTTTCTTTAATCTGCCAGCAAAAGAAAAACCTGTCATCCAATCACACATCAGAGAGCCCCACTAGAGGTTTGTCTGCACTTTCTTGTAGCTGTAACTTAAACCACAAATTGGATTAAAACATAAAGAAGCAGAGTGCATGCCAAGTTCATAGTATTTATTTGACATTTTTTACCTACATTTTTAGACAAGTAGTAATTATTGACTACTTAAAGTGTAAATATTATTATATCCCTGTCAAAGAGTCAGAAATACAGTCTGCAGAAGAAACTCAGGAAGATGTTGGTATAGATGAAGACTGGCTTCCAGGCAGTGAAGAATTGGCACTGGAAAAAGAGGAGGGAAAGGAAGAAAGAGTAGGGGCTGAAAATGGAAGAGAGGTTGTCGACTCAGAAGTAGACAAGAGTGAAGAAGAAGAAAATCAAATGGAAAGGGGAATGGAAGATCAGGATTTGCCTGCTGTTGCTGATAAAGACAGAGACAACTGTGTTAATGAAGGTGATGTTTCCAACAGGAATCATCATCAGTAGAAATATATTATTGAAATGAAATTAAGCATGGTAAGCTACTAAGCGTTCTTTGTAGATGGATAAATATCACTTTTCTTCTTTCAGAAAAGGAGACAGAATTGATGATTTCAACATCTGAGAAAATTCGAGAAAGTGTATTGCAGAAGCAAGTAAAAGTTATCATCCAAAGGCTTCCAGAGGTAAGATGGAGAGAAACAGGAGTTGTTCCCCTTTTTTGTGTGCCTCCTGTGTATTAGGCTATGTCTCTAAACACTTCAACCAGCCGTGCTAGTGATGCGGCTCAAGGGATGATGATATTAGTCTGATGTTGGTTTGTTGGTCACTCCACCACTCTGGCATTCATTATCCCCAGTGGATGAATCCTAATGCAGTTCATCCCCTAACTTTCCATCTAGCACCACTGTGAGGTTGACATTCGTGATTTTGTGTGAAATGTCAACTATTGGATGGATTTCAATGAAACTTTGCTTATAGGCTACACACATAATGTCCTCCTCACTATAAACTAACTTTTCATTTAGCGCCATCATCAGGACAGAACTATTAATTAGTCAAATAGTTGAGATTAAGATACCTGCAAAGCTATATTCCTATCATATCTCAATAAATTAGGCTTGTCATTATCTTGGAAACACTGTTTTGTTATCTCAAAGTCTTGAGAAAATTAGCTGGTTATCTTCTGAAAACATTTGTCATTTCGAGATAATGAGAAAACAAATTAAATTTACTCATTATCACGGTAAAACGGAGTAAATAAAATGTATGAATATATGGCCTCGTAGGGCTTCCGTAGTTCACTGATCAGCAACAACATATATGTTTTACTGACTGGCCAAGCAATAGGGCGTATGTTTTTATATTTTATACTATTAATTAAACTGACATAGACCTCGGAATTTGCATTAAATGCTGGTCAAAGAGCTGCTTTCAACCAAAAAAGCGGGGCAAGGTATCCGGGTTTGCTGTTCTCCTCTGCTCTGCTTGAAATGAACGTGGCCCCGCCTCCGATCCGACGCTGTATTGAGACGAGCCACGTGGAGGCAAAACTACGTTATGGGGCTCAGGCTGTGTCAGAATCCGATTTCATCTCCTTCTTCTCCTCTCTTCTCCAGACTCTCCTCTCCAGACTGTCTTCTCCTCCCAGCGCACGTTCACTAGAAAGCGAACTTTCTCTGGCCATCAACAGCTCTGTCGCCTCCAGGCTTTCCGGGAGAATATAAAGAAGTACACAGCTGAATGTATAAGTAACTTTAGGTCACATTATTTATAGTAAAGCTATTGCGTGCGTTAGTCACGGCGTCAACACTGGTAACGTTAAGTTAGATGATCAAGTAGCTACAAAATGCACGTTAAGGAGAGAATTGGTTTGCTAATTTGGCATGCACTTGAAGATAAGTCAGCCAGTCATTCAGCATCATCGGTCATGCTCTCACAATAAGACACATAGTCACACCAGATTTGGTTAACTATGTTAATTTGTATGTTTTAAAATGATAAGGTAACGCAATAGGCGTGTGGTGAATGTTTCTTTTCCACTGGGGTGAAGCACGGGCCTCAGGTAAGGTTGGATTTGCCCATGTTTTTAGGGAATTCCCTTTCATCTGATGCTTTTGTTTTCAGATACCAAACAACGTATCAACGGCCTTCAATTTTAGAAAGCTCAGCAGCCAGCATTAATCATCGCCGCAGCACCTCTATGAAGAAGGAAACACATTCAGTTCCTTTGAATTTGACAAGTCTTGGGACTCCAACACTGTTCCAGTGTTTCCCACAGGTTGACAGCCTAACTGTGGCGGGTTGGGTTATGCCGAATTTTGCATGCCTGCCGAGAATTGCATGAAAATGCATTAAAGTTCTGCTTTTAAACGCTATACTATTCATTGTGGGGTTCATCAATAGTGATAACTGATCAGTAGCCTATATATTTTATGAACGTTAAGAATCGTTAATATATTATTACACTTTTTTTTTAAAACAGTAACCGCGTTCAAACAGCAAAGTGTCCTAAAATGACCTTAAGAAGTGAATTGCATAAATCGGCGCAACAGATATTGTAGGCTTCCTACCGAAATTTGCATCCACCTCTTTTCTCAGTATAACAGAGCGTTACCTCCCGCGAGGTGTATGCGATTCACAGCAGGCAAAACAATTATAATGACAATGCAAACTGGGTTTGAAGGTTTTTATCATTCACTGACATTATAAATAAACATGAAACAAACTAGAATATTTTGAAAAGTTTTAATGGAATTTAAAAGTTGAATAATACACAGAATGTATGAAAGATGTGGAACATTTCAACGTTTGAATGTAGCTTCTACTTGAAAGTATTAATAGAATAGATACCAGCTGAAAAATGCATGAGTAAATGTGAAATTGTGTAAATTTTGAAGATTCGTCTGTTCATTTGAATGGGGAAGATTTCCCAGAAAATGTATGAAAGGTATAAATGATAGAAGTAATAGCTCACAATTCCTTATTGAGCTGAATACTTAGATTATTTTGATGTTTGAATGAAGTTTCATATTTTTTCACATTGAACAAGGTACAAGTACTGTAAAACTTAAATTAAAAGTTTAGTCCCAATTAGACACCTGTCCCTTTTCAGGGGTGCGAACTTCTCATCTTTCGCCGAAATCCTCATTAATGTGATTCGTGTAGAGCCGATGTATCTGGATTTCCTAGCCCCCAGAAAGTGCTCCGTGCTCTGTAGCCAATTTTACTAGTGGCCAAACAAGCGGCTGCAAAATGGTGGAAACTTCTCTCTTTTTTTTGCGTCAAAACCCCAGCGAAATGACTCATTTCACTATCAGAATTTGATCCATTCGGTCTATAACATTTGGAAAGTCACAGTTATCATTTTACCCCCCATTCAAGTTAGCAGAGGGCTAAAGCGGAAGTTATCTGGCTTGGCTCAACTTTTTTGCAGCCCTGGTTTCAATTAGACACCTGACATGTTTTTTATAGAAGTTCTCTGGATGTACAGTATAAAGCCGCTTGAAGCCCATCGGGTTACCTGCTACAGCTAGTTCTAAGCTGTTAAATCGCACATACAAATATAAATGTTAAAACTTTTGTCATTTGTCAGGATCAGTTGGATTCTCTCCAATTCAATTATTTAATTCATTTTACAGAAACAATTCAGACGTACTTGTATCATAATAAGTGAGATTAAAAAAAAAAAACATTGTTATACAAGTAATATTCATAAAAGTTGAAATAAAAAAATTGACAGTAGTGTATTATCCATCTTTGCTGAGCAAGATTTTTGTGCCAAAGGAAATAAAGGCCTGTCCCAAATATAGGCAGGGTGAGTTCAGTGATTGAAGCAAATAAAAGTCCAGGCTTTTAGTTAAACTTTTATGGTAGTTAGTTGCAAAAAAAAAGCGGAGACATAATAATAGAGCAATAAGAACATAGTTCTTTTAAGCTTTCTAGCATTTTTCACCAACTATGAGTCCCACATGTGTGAAACATACTGTAACATGTTGAACATGTTATCTTATGGAGAGTCAACTATACAGAGGACCCGTTTAAATAGTGCTCTGATGATTCTGTATGTGCTCTAGTTTCAGGTAAATAGTGATTGTGAGTCCAGCTGCATGGGGCCTCCAGTAGTAGGTTTGTAAATAATTACTGTAATATATTTCTTTTAAATTTAAAACTTAAAATTGAATGAATTACACCAACTTGATTTATTTGTGGGCTGATGCTCATACTATGTTTTTTACTGCACTGCCTGTTGATCTTATTTTTATCCAGAGATGTGTGTCGGTGTGTGTACGTGCTTTTAATAATGTTGACAGACCATTGTCAAGAAAGCTTATCCAACAGTATTATTTTACTTTGTAATTCAAGTGATTCTGTTTTGTTACCATAAGTTTTACTTGTGAACAGGCAGCTGGTGTACGCCCTGTGACAGGGATGCACAAAATGAGGCAGGACACAACGGGACGGCAGCAGATGACCCTTCCACCACAGCAGCCACACACATTGGCCCCTTGCAGATGTCATGCCCACCCATCGCTGGAGGTGTTGGGAAAGAAAATGGAGAGGAGGTCACACAAAGTAATGAAAGGGAAAATGTAGAACAGAGAGAAATCAAAACGGAAGCAGGAAATTCTCCTGCACCTGTGACAGACACAGATTTCATTGGTGACATGATAGGTTAGCAACAAATAATAATTATTTTAGTGGTAAGATGGGTTTATATATTTATATATATATATATATAATATAATTTGTTTTAATATCTGTATTTGTTTGACATTTTGTCCTCTGCAAAGATGAATGGGAGGAGAAAGAAGGAACAGGACGTTGTGGTGAGGAGGAGGAAAGAAGGAGAGGTGGGATGGTGACTGAAACACAGATACGATGGACTGAAGGTTTTAAAAACGAGGATCTAGACATGGCAGCATCTGAAGCTGGTGGTCAACCTCTTGCAAGTGGGCATATCAGCGATGTCCCGTCAAACACGCCACCCATACACAGCAGTATTAAGGAAGAAAGGATCGAGGCAATGAGTAAGTTGTTTATAAATTAGACATGTAAATGGCAGTTTTGATGTCTGAATTTTTCATCTGTACAGGTGATATGCTGGTTGAGTCTGGCCACGATGGAGTGGGATTACAAGTGTTGAAGCTAGAGACAGGGTAAGTACTAACAATAACATTTGGATAAACAAAGATGCTTAATTGATATTCAAGGCCATGAAAGATTTTTTTTTCTTCCACAGGGTTCCTCAAGAAACTCAGGGCTCAGGCAGCACACCATCCTCCGACATGGTGGAGGATCCATCCACCTCCTGGCCCTCCACTAGCTGTAATCTAGACACAATGGACATTGATCAACTGAGGCGAGAGAAGATAAAACTGCAAATAAAAGTCCTAAAGTTGCAAGAGGAATACTACACTCAGAAGATAAAGGGACAGAAACAATGACATTGCTTCATTGGAGCCTGGTTGTAAAGCTGGTTTCAATGGGACAGGGCAATCAGAGATCACTGAGAATGCTGGAAAACATGAACAACCTCTGTTCAGGGATCACTAAGAATGTTTACAGCTTACTTATGTAGAAAATAGCAGTTTGGTACTGGTAAAAAAAACCTGCCAGTTCTCAACTCCATCATCATCATACCGTCTGTATCTGGCTCCCCCCTCTTCGGTAGGCAGAGGGATTTACTGTACAAGCTTGAGACGACCAAAACTTACTGAACTGGATCACTTTTTCTTTTGTGGGAAGTTTTAAAGAACTTCAGCAATGTCTTCATGTTTAACCAAATGGTTTTCAGTTTGTTGTTGAGCAATCCCAACACACCCTTAACACCCATGCAAAAGAGATTATAGAGTCCAAAGTTTGCATCTCAAATAAAGGTCAGAAAACAGGTCAGGGCTTCTGTGGAGTTTTCCTCTAATAAGGCTGACGTAGTAAAAATCTTCATTACATGATAAAACGTAGTGAAAATCTTGGCTGTGGGAGAAATAGAGTTGTTCTAGTTGTAGTGGTATAAATATTTTGTCAGACAAACGGATGTACTCTGCAGAGCACCCCAAGGATAAGATGTGGTTGATGAAAACAATCATGGATGACATGTTTTGACATGAAAAAAGATAGGCACTCAAGTTGAAACAATAAGCATAATAATGTGTTAACTGAGTCATGCATTCATGAGAAGACCTGGCTGTTCTTCTGGTTACGGTAATGAAAGGTTCAGCGTTCCACAGCACACATGACGAGGGCAAGTATCAACAGACCAGAGGCCTTAGCTTTTGACGGTTTATGAGGGGATTTATCAGACTGCATGCAGTGATGCAAAGAAACATCCTGGAAATGAAGCAATATTGAAATATTTTGTAATGTACTGGCTCTTGTACTTCGCTGCATTTTATACCTATTAGTACAGATGTAAATCTGTAAAAATGAAATTTATTTTTTGACAATCGCACATGAAACAAACTGAAATGGAAAGATAAATGTTGTGAATCCATCGTATGCGATTGTCAGACAGACTTTTTCCCTCTTGTAAGGTAATACATATGTAAGATATACTGTGGGAAGAAGACCCCTCAGACTGGGCCAGAGGCCTAATGGCCCCTCATGCTCACATTTGGTGTTCTTTAATCTAACTTTTTGATATAAAGAGTATTCTTTCAATTAAACACAGATTCCAGTAAAATTCTAATTAACTCAAGTTTAGTAATAAGTGCTAAATACAAATACACGTGTATCTGAGGCCAGACCCACCTCCACACATAATCAATACTAAACCAATAGTGTAATCTACCCTTCAACATTTCTAAAGAAATAATGCCTGAAATGTGACACTGATCAATAAAGCATCATAGTAGTAATAGAAAAATAATGTTCATGCATGAAACAGAGTCGACATCAACACAAGCACAAGTTTGTGTGCTGAGTCACATGATGACCTTGACATCGCCTTCAGAGCTACAGTCTACTTGCTAAGGCCCACTGTACTAATCTGTCTTGTATTTTATCAGGCCTGAGTGCAGGTAGTAGCAACATGTTAAAATCCATAAAGGCCCCACTGTCCCTCGGGTCAGTTATACAATTAATTCTAAATTATGGCCTTCGCCCCTAATACGCCCTGCTAGCAACACTGTTTGAAGGGCTGGGGGGGTTTAGAAAAATGTGAAGGCCACAACCTGAGAGCAACAAGGCTGAGCAAAAAGAGTGCTCCTACAAATGACCTGTCTAAGAAGAATGCCTCCCGTCCCATCCGGATTATTAAAAAATAATCAGAAAATAGCGTGTATTCATATTTGCAACCTCTCCCAGTCTGTTACTGAATAGTGAGAATGACTCCCACCCTGCGGGAATTCTGAAATAATCTCAGCCTCCAATAGAGTCCTTTAGTTTGAAGGGCTCCATATTTCCAATTAAACCACTGCACAAACACAGGGACACATTTTTATAAAAGTGAAATGTTGCCTGTCTAAATAATGTGATGTAGCCTACTTTGCTAAAACACATTACCTTAGCTTCTTGTGTCAACAATCAGGGACTGAAGCCTGCGATACCCTAAGCAAGACACCGCATGTCCCATTCTGATTCCTGGCTTCAAAGAAAACCAGGTGAAGTGTGGGGAAGTTAATCCATGTGCTGATCAACACAGTTGAGGGCAAAACCAAGTCAGAATGCAATTCATCATTAGTGTCTGGTGAGTAAAAGTTGCAGTGAAACTCTAGTTCATGGTGGACAGCAAAGTGGAGTGATTTTTGTACAAAAGACAGATCAAATAGGCGGTGTGGTTTCTGTGAGTGTTGACAATGAAAATATCAATACAAACTGCAAAAGACTCTAAAACAGTATTTATTACCCGCTATGTTTGCATGTGTAACAAATTATTTGAATATATATAACACTTATTTTGTACATTTGTATTTACAGTTGAGTCAGAGCAGAGTGTTTGAGAGTTATTACTACAGCCACTATTCAGTCATATATTCTTCCTCTTCATCATTTTCCACCTCATCTTCATCATCGTCATCAAAGTACTTATCCTCCGCATCTCTACTGACTATGTCCAAGTTGTCATAGTCTGGGTTCTCATCCACCTCACTGTAACACACACACACACACACAAAATGCACACACAAAATGCACACTATTAAAGCAACACAATAAAGTTTGGTGACATCTGTTTGAATTAAAGACTTTGCTAGTAACATTAACATTAACATTATCATTAATTCACCAGTAGTTCACTACCATGTTGTCCCTCTATTACTTTATTAGGACAAATGTAAACAATGTAACATTAAACTTCTGTGGAAGGGAAACCAGCACCTGCAACTTGTTAACATTTAAAATTTAACACATCTGATAGAATTTGGATGGAATCAGCAGCACCCTAATGACTTTAAAAGCATTTTAATTCAAGAACAAAACCATATTTGTTGTAACAGGAATACAGTTTTCAAAAAGCCTGCTCACTCAAGCTATTTAATTATGTTAACAAATAAAAGATCATAAAATATGCACTAAATTCTCATTTATTTCTTATCCTAAAGCCCCAAAATATTCCGATCAGGATTTAGTGGATATTTATATTCGTAATGGACTTGATTGATAACCGATTCATCCATCAGAGATCACTCTAACCTGACTGGTACACAACCATTAAGTGGTAGTGTTTCACTTCTACCATTTCTATTGTCTCTTAGCACTGCTACACAGACGATATGCAACACTACCCATCCTTCCTGCCAGACAATCCCACCATCTCGACGTGGTTCACGGACTGTTTCTCGGACATATCTGCATGGATGAAGGCTTGCCACCTCAAACTAAACCTCTCTTAGACTGAACTCTTGGTCATTACAGCCAAGTAATCTATCCACCATAACATCAAACTACAATTTGACTCCTCAACCATCACTCCAACCAGGGTGGTGAGAAACTTGGGTGTTATGACTGATGACCAGCTGTCCTTTTCAGACCATGTTGCTGCTGTCTCTCGGTCATGCCGCTTTGCTCTATACAACATAAGGAAAATACGCTCCTCCGACGAACGCCGCCTGGCTCTGCCATCCCTTCACACAAAGCAATCCCAGTCCACGAAGGTGGAACGAGCTACCACATGCCATCAGAGCAGGGGCGTCCCTCTGTAACTTCAAGAAGCTCTTGAAATCTCTTCCGAGAACACTTCCTCTTATAACACCTCTAACCCCTAATCTCTAACATGAACTTCCTGCGCTCTTCTTCTATCCCCTTACAACTACAAATTGCACTTTTTTGTTAACTCTTACTTCCTTTCCTAGGTATTTACCCCATTGATGCCATACGTGCTATTAGCTCTTATTGCTGCCCTTACTAGTCAGTTGTAGATCTCGTGCTGTATTGATGCTTGTATGTTGCTCCTCAAATGTAAGTTGCTTTGGATAAGAGTGCCTGCCAAATGAGTAAATGTAAATGTTTGTAAATGTAGTGTGGCTGACCTGTAGTTGAAATCCTTGTCTTTGCCATCTAAGAAGCGCTGGTGCATCTGACTGATGAACTCCTCCCTGAGCAGAGCCTTCTCCTCAGCGTTGGGCTCCCAGTCCTGCTGCTGGACGGTATTATCTACAGCAGAAACACAGAGAGGGAAACAGTCAGAGAAAAAAAAGTGGTGGGGGGACAAAAGGAGGGCAGAAACAGATGCAGTTTTCTTCTTGTCTCTTCACTTCAATCTGCAAGAGCACAGAAACTAAATTTATTTTTTAACTGCTGCACCACTCCTCATCCTCTCTCACCATCGTCTTCTTCATCCTCCTCCTCCTGTGCTCCATCCTCTCTCTCCTGCTCCTCCTGCAGACGACTCTGGATGAGACGCTCCTGGTAGGAGTTGAGGAGGAGGTGAGCGAGCCCTCCTGTGCCTCCCGCTGGTGCCCCTGGTCCCTGCTGTGCACCGTCCTGCATGGCCTCCTGGGAGCGCTCCAACACCTACATTAGTCATTAGTCAAAAACTGTGAAATCAAAGAAACGCATATCATTTGAAGTACAACAGCACTGCATCACGCTCTCACCTCATCATCCGTCAGGTACTGGCCAATATATTGTTCATACAGCAACGGCTCCCTCATCCGCATCTGCTCCTCACTGAAATACTGACCCTCTAGAGGAGGAGGTAGGCAAGAACAGAGAAGTGACCAAGTCGAGAAATAAACCATTAACATACTTCATCAAGTACAAAAGACTTCCAGTGATTGGTGTCGAGATTCTTAGGTGGGCAGCAGATATCTCGGCAGAGGATATCTTAGGGGGCTTTCACAACTGAAAGTACGCACCAAGGTCCGAACGAGAGTTCATGTTTTGATACATTTGGTTAGTTTTGGTTTGGTTTCAAACTAAAGAACTTTATATGACAGGACTGATTGACCAGAATAAATTAATGAATGAGGAATGTACAGATGTCGTTGCCACTATATTGTTATTTTTATGGCATTAGCCTACTACCTGCAGCACCAACTTCAATCACAACACATTCTCATCTTAGCGTGTCAATTACCGATACTTTGAGACAGGCTAGTTCAAATTTGCCAAATAAACGTCCTCGTTGTGCGAACATTAGGCCTATATCGTCTGCGGCGTTTCAGCATGACACCAGCAGGAAAGGGGGAGAAGACTGCAAGCAATCCTTCTGCACCTCCGTTTGAGGAAAGACCATAATTGTGTCCTTTTTTCAATGCATTTCTCTTTGCATACGTTTGTTTACACAGGAACCAACGAACTTCCTGTAAATAGTCTGAAAATCCAAACCATCCAAAAATTGCTTTCACATTAGAACCGAACCACTGTTCAATTTAATCCGGACCGAGACTATCTCTTTTTGTCGGACCAATTGTCATCCGTTTGGTCCAGACCGTGGCCCGGGGGAGGTTTCACACATCCGAAAGTCCGGACCAAATGAGGTAGGTGTGAAAGCCCCATAGAACCAAAACTAACCACATGGCACCACTAGCGGCAATTGGAAGGTGTGTTATATCACAATATCATTTGTTTAAACTGACCTTTAAAAATTAAAGTGTACACTTCATCATATTCATGATCATATTGATTGCAGCACCCTTTAACAATGTGATTTACAGTAATTTTCAACACAGCTATGGTAAAATGAGTTCCAAAGCAGAGCCTATCCTAATGAAAGAGCCTGGACTATCCTTGTACTAAAGTCTTAACTGCTATGAATCAGTATCTTCCTTGTTGTTGGTGGTGGGTGGGTCCCTACCCGACTGCAGGGCCCTGAGGGCAGCGTAGCGCTGGTTTCGAACCCTGGTCCTGTTGGTGCATGCCGCGGCTCGCCTCTGTATCACTTTGCTGTAGTGCTGAGCCCTTGGATCTGAGCAGACGTGGGCGAACGCTGGCAGGTTCTGGGGCCTGAGACAGGTCTAGAAATGGGGAAGAGTACAGAACATAAGGAAAAAAGGTAAGCGCAAAAACCTCTTCTTTTATTTGGTTAAGTTGTCAGTATGCTGAATCCCTTTGCGAAATGATGTTGGCATTGCTGGAAGTGAGGATGACTGTGCTGTTACATTTTTATCACTCAATTTCCAAAAACACATAAAATATGGGAAGTAGTAGACCTTTCATCTAATCATAGCACTCTGAAAGTATGTTTGATGCACCTACAAGCCTACGTAAGGGCCCCTTTCAGCTGTTTATATGCACATGTACACTCAAATGTGTGGGCAAACCACACACACACACACACACACACACACACACACACACACACACGGAGCTGTGACTGTGTACACATACATGGTACCTCTCCAGGAACACCAGCGGTCTGGTCCTGTACTGATGCAGCAGCTCCTCTCTGCGCTCCTCTAGGGTCAGTTCAGCCTCTCCTATCTGCTGGCTCTTCACCGGGCTTCCACTCCTGGCTATGGCCTCCACCATGTCATTTACACACTGGGACTCAGCCTGGCTCCCGCACTGTACGATAAACACAAACACAATCCGTGAAGCTGAATGATGACTGTGAGCACAGCCGCCGATGCCGGTGACCTCACCTGGCCGTCTTGTCGTGGCTGCTGGCTCTCTGTGGGGCGGTAAAGGTCGCATTTCGGGGACGGTGTCGCCGGTTCTTCTGGTAATTCACTCTTGTCTTCACTCTCAAACGAACTCGGCTGTGTTTTCACGGGAGGGTCGATTTCACCCCACATGATTAACTGGTAACCAGCTTGCTAAAGTGTCTCCTGTTGCTCTGAATAGAAAGCTAACTTAACGTTTATGTCCGTTGGTAGATTATCTCGACCTTGACATTACTGTAAATTACTGAATATGAGCTGGTGAATTTTCTCGATTTAGTGTGAGCATCCTCACATTAAAAATGTAAAAATTGCATGCGTTTCCCTTTCACCTGCTTTCATTTGTTTTGCCGCCATGTTGGTCCGTCATTATTATTGGCCTCCTGTTCTGCGACCGATAGAATGGTTCCGCCCGGTAACCAAAGGAGCGTCTGTGCTGTTGATTTTGTCGCCATCTGGTGGTGGTTTTTGGACCCTAGAAAGACATTGAATATTAAATACAGGCTTATATGCATGCATGTGTGTTACAAGATGTAATAATTTCGGCAGTGTTGCTAAAAATATTTGTCTACAGTGAACTTTTATTGACTCTGATTATCCTTTCATTGTGTGTTTATACTGTTTTAGTGTGTTACTGCATACATGCTAATAAATCTGTCATTCCAAATATGCAAGATGTGATGACCTAGATTTTCCAGCTCTTATTTCTTCTTAAACAATTACTATTATATAGTATTGCCAGCCTTTCATAATTACACATTAGCCCACACTTTCTTACCACTGCTAAAGTATTTAGAATACAAGAAACAAAGTGGTGTGGTGACCAATAAGAGGCCCATATGTGATGACCTAATTTCACAACTGATTTCTAAATGGCATCATGTAAAAAAAGTGTTACTCCCATATGCAGCAGGATGGCAAGTGATAGAGATATTAAAAAGATGAGATGCAATTAGGCTAAAAAAAATAACATAAAATTACAGTTATATGTTACTTGTGTGATAAAGACATTACTGGTGGAAACAAAGATATGCCAGGATACAAGGATGAATAATCAATGGCCCCAGAAATGCAGGTGCTGCCAAGAGCTGCAGGCCAACTTTGTGCAAACTAATTTCTATCTATTTAAGAATATAAATGAAGCACAATAGTAAATAACATGATATGTCTGGCCTCCTGGCGGCTGGCGGACTACAGTTTTAAAACCTTCTGTTATGTCAATGTTGCGCGCTTGTTCCATATTCCTAAATTAAGTTGTGCTAAATTAAATTACCATTTTACTGTAACAAAAACTGTACACATTGCACAGAGTGGGATAAATGGGCGTTTAGGTTGGGCCCCCCACAGCTCCGTTCTTGCTCAGGGCCTCCCCTATTGTTTACCCCCACTCTTATTGCGTCTCTGTTTTATGTCTTTTTATTGTGAAGGAAATTATTACATCTGTTTTAGAAAGGTGTTTTTAAAAAATAAACTTAACTTACTATATTCCCTGACTGTTAAGAAATAAATTAGTGCAAGTTAAAACTGTATGGCAATTGTATTTACTTTACTTATTTCTTTTCTTCAAGTCCCCATGGTCTTTCTACTGTACCAGTAAATAATAGGCTACCCAACCAAATAATGCAAAATGTTTTTCGCATTATTATAGCCACACAATGTCTTCAATGTGCATCCTCCTGTCTCAGTACAGGTGAACTTTTCACTGTGGAGCCGAGAGCCGCGCGGCAGCAGGGAGGAGCCACTCCCACAGAAATATCACCAACTGATACTTTATGATATCTGTGAGGCCGGTTTAGTGGGGAGGAAGTCAGGTAAGATGCTGCGATACACACCGAGACGCACAATAACAGCGGAGGTTTAGCGCTCTTTCTTTCAAAACAAATGTAGCGTTATTGTTCTTCAACTCTTCTTCTGATAGGGTCAACAACAAGAGTTGTATTTTGAAAGTTTTACCAGGAAATAATTATTTTCTCATCCTGGTTGACTTCACAATGTGTGTCGAGCAAACTTTCTCAGCCTCTCCGGACTAGCTAAAAAGCTCTGCTCGTATTTTGCTCTTATCAGTTTGAGCTAGACAATAACATGGGCGCCACGCGGGGACAGACGTAGTAAGGTACGTATTTAACAACAGAGCCTCCAGCTGACTGCGCTGTGGCATGCTCTCCCTGTGCGCGGACCACACTGCCGACAAGCACACTGTCAAACCCATGTTGACAGTGCGCTTGTGGACTCACTTCACCATACTGCCAAAATCCGGGAATTAACAATCATTTGCATCAGACACTAATTTTAATCCAACGGGTCACCATTAAAGAAGATGGTGTCCCGTATTTTTTTTGTTTTTTATCCCGTTGTAGTCAATAAAACCTAAAGAACAATTATCTCACAATTCTTTGTAAAGATGCTCCTTAATCCCAAAGTCTGGCTGTAGCTTTGAGTTTAGGTCATCTCTCACTGTCTTTCTTACTTGACCTCTCCACCTATACTGTTAAGATCCGGTCTTTTAAAAACATTTCAAACGCAGATACAGTCTCCAACTGTCCAGCTGTCCTTAAACATTGACAATACAGTGTTGGCTGTCGTAACAACTTTACTACACAGCTAATAATACAATTATACAGAGAAAACGTTCATTTTGAAACATTTTTATTGACATGTTATTGAGTGTACAACTCACCTGGGCTTCATGTCTCAGATTCCTGGCCGGCTCCTCGGGGTCCAGGGATCCAGAGCTGATGGATTCTTTACTGAAGTCATGTTATTGTCGCACACTGTACATCTGGGATCAGCATAATCAACATCCAAGTTGCTCCATTGTATACTGGACCATGTGTATATGTGGATCAAACAACGGTTTGATTATTTGAACTGATAATTTCTTATCTCGTTTATCTCTTCTCACTTGTTTTTAGTGCAAGTGATTCCAGCGAGATGGAAATCCCCGGGTGCTTGTTTAACAGGAAATAAAGACCAGGTATGTACATCAATCTTCATGTGTCCTTTATTAATCTGACAAAGGTGGCTGTTTGGACAGTTATGTATTTTAATAAGTCTAAGTGATGATGGATTTCCAGTTGACCTCATTCAAGAGTAATTCCCAGATGTGCGAGGTTGTTGCATTCTGTCTTGTGACTATTTGATTTGATACTGACAAAGCTGGTGAAAGCCAGGATAAATTTTCCTCTTTGAGTTGACAACTGTTTGTATGGCCTGCGCTCAATACACTGTTTACATTCCAACACAAACACGCCGGGATATTCTGGAGCTAAATGAAGCCAGTGTCGCCTCTCCTGTCTCCCAGCGTTGTGTCTCATACAGAAGATATGTCTTAGAGCATGATTGGCAGGTCTTTGTGATGAGTCTCTGTCTGTCAGTGAGGTCATCTGCTATGAAATCTGACACGTGTGGCCCTGTTTATTACTACGAGTAAGGACCTGAAATGAGTCACAGACCTGCTTTTGTTAGGACGAAAATAACAGCTGCATGGTTCGAATCAAGCTATCTCTTAGTGTTTCTCATTTGGATTATTAGCTACAGTTTGGAGCAATGCTGTAAGCAGACAATAATTCCCTGAGCTGAGACATGCTCTCCCTATTCAAATCCTCCAGTACACAAAATTAGAAAAGTAACTGTGACACAAGGATGACTCTGTGCAGCCCTTGTCTTTATGAGCATTGCTCTACCCACATGCAACATATTCAATTTAAACATTTGATCACTTTTTTCTCAATCCTGCAAAAATGTATCATCCCTACGACTGACAGTTCATTAAACTCTCTCTCAAACAGTGATTGTACAGTCATAGTATAAGCAACAGTAACTAGTCGCAGGTCAGTCAAGCTTTGGATTTCTTCATATGCCAAAACGAGGGCTGCGGTAAGAACAATACTGGGTATATGAAGAGTTTGGAGGGTCGTGTCTTTTCTATCACCTTTCCAAAACGAAAAGCACAAGAACAAAAGTGCAAGGAACAGATTAAACTGTGTGCTTTCTCTCTCACTTTTGCTGCACACATTAGCATGCCTCGCTAACTAGCTTAGTAGTAACGTAGTGTTATTTACAAAGGAATGGGGCATTAGCTAACTATATTACACTGCTCAAAAAAATAAAGGGAACACTTAAACAACACAATGTAACTCCAAATCAATCACACTCCTGTGAAATCAAACTGTCCACTTAGGAAGCAACACTGATTGACAATCAATTTCACATGCTGTTGTGCAAATGGAATAGACAACAGGCGGAAATTATAGGCAATTAGCAAGACACCCCCAATAAAGGAGTGGTTGTGCAGGTGGTGACCACAGACCACTTCTCAGTTCCTATGCTTCCTGGCTGATGTTTTGGTCACTTTTGAATGCTGGCGGTGCTTTCACTCTAGTGGTAGCATGAGACGGAGTCTACAACCCACACAAGTGGCTCAGGTAGTGCAGCTCATCCAGGATGGCACATCAATGCGAGCTGTGGCAAGAAGGTTTGCTGTGTCTGTCGGCGTAATGTCCAGAGCATGGAGGCGCTACCAGGAGACAGGCCAATACATCAAGAGACGCACAGCCCTCCATGTGCTCGCCAGAGGTAGCCTGACTGCCATTAGGTACCGAGATGAGATCCTCAGACCCCTTGTGAGACCATATGCTGGTGCTGTTGGCCCTGGGTTCCTCCTAATGCAAGACAATGCTAGACCTCATGTGGCTGGAGTGTGTCAGCAGTTCCTGCAAGAGGAAGGCATTGATGCTGTGGACTGGCCCGCCCGTTCCCCAGACCCGGATCCAATTGAGCACATCTGGGACATCATGTCTCGCTCCAACGCTTTAGTCCAGGTCTGGGAGGAGATCCCTCAGGAGACCATCCGCCACCTCATCAGGAGCATGCCCAGGCGTTATAGGGAGGTCATACAGGCACGTGGAGGCCACACACACTACTGAGCCTCATTTTGACTTGTTTTAAGGACATTACATCAAAGCTGGATCGGCCTGTAGTGTGGTTTTCCACTTTGATTTTGAGTGTGACTCCAAATCCAGACCTCCATGGGTTGATAAATTTGATTTGATTGACTTTTTGTGTGATTTTGTTGTCAGCACTTTCAGCTATGTAAAGAAAGGAGTATTTAATGAGTCATTCATTGAGATCTAGGA